ATGTCAATGTTCAAATAAATTTCTGGCTTTAATCCTGTTACTTTTCCTTCTTACAATTCTAAAGTTTGCTCTGTTGTTTTTTTTTCTTTTTCTCCAAGTGGCATCAGAGTGCCATTATCTATGCTTCTTGTTAACGATATCTCAAATATCGTCTTTATGCATCTGTAAGCTGCTACAACTACGACGAGACGTTCGTTACATTCTTGTTGTCACAAAACCACATACATGTACTGTCAGGCGATGATTTGTCTTTTTATCGTCGTCCGTTGTCACTCTTGCACTTGTTGATGAAGACTTTACACATTGACAACTTCTGTCAGTGGTACATTGTAGTCATCAGGTCACCGATTTTAACTTTATTTCATTTACTTTTCTTGTGGTAAGCTTCAAAAGTGTTGCAGGTGTGTAAATGATTCACTTGTCCCCTCAGTCATTGCTTTACTGCATGTTAGTTGATGTATGATGAGAACATATTGTGAGAAAAAGCCATGGCTTATGGGTTTTTTTCCCTCTCTGTAAGAAATGCTTTTGGTCATATTCATGTACAATTAACAAAACTTTATATTGATATGACACATACAGGAGAGGGTCAAGAGTTCTAAGGTTGCAAGTGACAGTGACAGATTGAGAAAATGTGCAGATTTATAAGTATCTTTTTACCATTAAAGGTATAAAGTCCATGAGTCTTGTCTAATTATGTGTGGCCAAAACCAAATCCAGTTCTCAGATCCAGGATATATAAACCACGGATGACTTTGCGTGCCTGTTTACTCTGATGTCTGTCAGTTTTTATTCTTCTCCTAGTTCCCACTGACTGTTCTATTTTCATGCTTTTTCCATATATACAGTCAACTCCACTTGTGTTGAACTTGCTTGATTTGATCTTCGGTCAATTAAGTTGATCTTTTTCTCGGGTCCCAGCACCTTTTCTTCTTTAAAGATCCCAACGGTTAAGTTGAACTTCGGATGAGTTGATCTTTTTTTCACTCCCCCCGACAGCATCAACTCATCCGTAGACGACTGTAGTGTATGTTAGACTTGTTGTTTTACTTTGAGCCAACTCTGAAGTGAGAAAGACATTCCTAGGGACATTCGGTGTCTCCCAGAAGGTCACTAAGTACTAAGTGTTGATATATGTGGCTTTGTCTGGTAGTTCTTGCTATGATCTACATGCATGATTTCCAGAATTATGCCTTTTGTTCAGTCTCCGTTTGATTGTTGTGGCACTGACTCAGAGTGGCTATCACGCAGATAACAGTTGTTACCTTATGAGTTGGGATGATGGAGGAAAAAGAAGTCGGGGTTTTTTTTAAGGCATGTCCTTTCACCTGGGGTGTGCATGTGTGTGTGTTTGTGTGTGTGTGTGTTTGTGTGCATGTGTGTTTGTATTTTGGGAATGGGGTCCTCATTGGACTTTCCTCATTGTACTTTTGAGAAACAGCAAATGATTCAGTAGTTTTGCTGTCATACAAGCCATGAAACACTTTTTATCAAATGAACACGTAGTCATACAATTAATGTAATAATTTTTTTTAAAAATGAATTTCAGCTCTAAACGTTTCTGTTCAGCTTTTTTTGGAGTTAAAAGCTCACCTAGATTCTCTGACCTGGATTTGAAGTGCAGGTATTTAAGTTAAAGAGCCTTCTTTCTGGTATTACTTTTTCTTTAACCAGCATGCCCCTCTAGTGACTCACACTCTAAAAGTCACCAGAATATTGAATAGTTAGATTATATCTCAAATATTTATATCATGTTGTAACAAGAAATGACGAAGGAAAATGTTAAAGGGTGCTATTTATTTTTCTGGGAATTTGTCAACATAAATTTTTTTTATCGTTTCTTTTATACAGTGAGATGGTCAAGATTTTTTTTCTTTTCCTGCGATTTTTGTGGTCTTTGGAAGTATTGTTGGAAAATGTATGTGGCACCCTGAATTCTTCATGCTTTTTCTTTTTACTTTGGAAATGAAAAATAATGAAGTGATTTTCTGATTTTGCTCCTTGCAACCGACAAAAATGTAGGTCTGTATGTTCATTACTGGTTTATTTGTGACCTTATTTTGACTGGATTGTTTCTTCCTTGTTCAAGTTCAAGGACGGGGGTCAACATAATTTTGTTTTTGTGCAATAATTAATTGTTTGTCCATTTGCTCCGTCAATGTACGATTCCATATTTGAAGTCGCTTTTTCCTTTTGTGTGGGCTACAAATCTGGATCAGAAATGTAATATTGCTCTTGAAGATATAATTTTGGGGCATGTATTTCCAGCACAAAACGTGATAAAATTTTACAATAAGGTTTGTAAACAAACTAATGTTTTAAAGGTCATCATTTCTACTTAAATGTAGATTACTGTTTCGATACTTCTGGAACTTTGGTAAGCTTTTGTACTTCGTTTCTAAAATATCAAGAAAAATGGTATATTTTCCAACTTTAACAGTGATTTTTTTTAGTCTTGAGTGTTTGGAAAATGAAATGAACTGTTGCTGCATCTTGTCTCATAAGTTTTTGTGTTTTGTCAATTGAGAAAAAAAAATGTTGATTTTGCCCTACACGGGATAAATCTTTTAAGTCTGAAATTTTCACTTTTCTTTACAAAAGTTTTCATGTACCACTTTTGTCTAAGACACGCAGACTGTTAGTAAGTGTTAGTTCTTTAGTTGTCATATTGTTGGACAAACAGAAGGTAACGTCAAGGTCACTGACTCCCGGTACTTGAGTCGTCAGGAATTGAGGGGCTTTCTGTTGTGTAAGTTAAGACAAGTATCAAGTTGATATCAAACGTTTTCTAAAGAATCCATCATTCACATGGCAGATCACAAATGAAATTATTTTTCTCTAAAGAGATGTAGGAGTTAAAAATGTTACTTAAAATGTTACAGTTTTTGTGATTTCAATATATTTTTTTAAAAATCAGGAAGTGATCTGTTGACTGATTTTTCAATTCCCTACCAATTTGAAGAAGCAGTTTCTTACCTCAAATTTCCAAGTAGGGAAAGTTCACATGAAATTTAAGAAAGGTTCCAAGCAGAATATTTACAGAATAATATATGGCTTGAGTATTAAAAATGTTTTTTTGGTTTTATTTTTCTCTTGTGTTTTTGGCGCCTATGCTTGGAAATGTCAGATAAGCGTGTATGTGTTACGCTGTTGTCTCACTTTGTTACAAAACTAAAGCTCTGAGCATGTTGTATCATCATTATAGTTACACACCTTATTCATTTTTCTTCTCCCTCTCTCTCTTTCTATTGTATCTGATATTGCAAATGGGATAATCTGCTAATTTAATACAATATCTTAATCACCTCAACATGAGTTCATTTTTTTTTCCTTTTGTAATTTCAAGTTCAACTCAAAGAGAAGTCTATGGCAATTTAGTGCAGGGAGAAAAAGCGAGAGAGAGACAAATAGTAAAAGAGAGAAAGGAAAAAAGTAGGCCTCTGCAGAGCTCTCGTTACTGAGGACTGATTATATTGGATTCACTTGAGACATTGCTGTTCCTGTTGTGTCCATAATCATGAACCCAGAATGGGATCTGTCTAGACCATGCAGAACCCATGTAAAAACTGAGTGGGATTTTTTCGGTGTTTAAAAAAAAAAGTGTTTTAGGGTGCTCGAAACTGCATAAGGCCAAGGTCATAAGAAGAGCATACGGGACACATTAAATATTTTTCAATTTTAGTAGGAATTAATTTTGAATTTTACTCCGGTGGCGGCTGAAGCTTACTCTTATCATGCGTAACTTGCACACAGGATCTCCGAGGTTTTCACCCTTATCCGAGAAGGCTTGGTGTTAGATCTTACCTACCATAAGATCAGGGGTGTAGCTGAAAGACACCAGTAAGAAGTAGCCAAAAAGAAGCAGTAAAAATGCTGCAGAAAGTAGAAAGAGTCGGGAGCCCAGATCAGGGGGCAAAGAGGGGTGGGGACGGGCCGAAAGTGGAGACAAAAGCGGACGACAGAACATGGTTAGAGAACAGGAAAGGAGGTGAAAGGAGATCATTTCAGAGAAGAAAATTTTCTGTCGCTGTCAGGTTTCGAACCCGGGACCTATTGAATGAGAGGCGAACACCGTAACCTCTTGACCACGAGGCCGCCCCCCCCCCGAGAGATCCTTACAGGATAAATGTGGGAATGAGATATAATCTGTCACATCTAGACAGAACACAGGCTCAAATGTTAAAAATGAATGATTGTGTCCTTTTTTTAAACCATCCCCATTGACACTACTTAGATCATTTAGGAGGCCGGCTTCATCCCTGTCTATCGGGACCAACCCACGTTGAGGGGGATACCTCTCTCCATGCAAGTAGAAAGAAATTCTCTCCAAGCAAGAATCCAACTTAGGTCTTTTGCGTGCAATGGCAAAGTACCTACCGGCTCTACCACAGACACAGGTAGGTGCACAGGCTCAGTGCCGGCTTCATATGGACAGACACAGGTCGTCAACAGTGTGGTTCGAGAGCTAAAAACTTTTCAGCCGAGTCTGAGAATATCACCTGGGTTCTATCTCGTGGCCTAAGCCAGGCCTAAATAGAGGGTTTGAGTATTGAGTTTTAGTAAAAATTTTACGGCACTTATAACAATAAGGTCATATAAGTGCCAAAGTTGAGAGGTGTTACAAGAGAGTAACAAACACAAAAAAGGAGGAGAGATAAGGACGATAGATGTTTGATGGAGAAAAAAGGAGCAAACCATGCCAGAGCACCCTCCAACCACCCATGGTATGATGAGTTTGAGAGTGTGCTGGCTGCCATTCAAAATATAAGCATTATAATTAAACTTGCTGTGAAGTGTAAACTGCTGAGGTTGGAGGGTGCCACAGGTAGGCGTAGATCCTATTTCTTTTCCTCTCTTGCTTTTTCCTAGCACTCGATGACAATGTCCGTCATATGTTGATAGGCTTCTTTCTCTCTGAAAAAATTTGAACATATAAAACTTGTGTCTTAGAAGACAAAAAGAAAGATATACACTAGAATACATCCAAACAACAAAAGATAAACTGTATAGTCAGTAACTGTATTTGTGATTGAGATAAAAGCTAAATGACAACGGCAGAATTAATGTCACGAGCGGGAGTCTGGCCTTGACTCAATCCTCCGGAACACGGCCAGCCACTTGTCCCCCTTGTTGCGAGTCACCTTCTGCCCCTCCTCCGTACTGGTGTAGAGTTTCTCCACCACAATATCCTCTTTCTGGAGAAAACAAAAAGTAAAACAAAATAAAAGTAAAAGCCACTGAAGAAAACACGAAACACAGACACGCTGAAATGATGTGCAAAGAGGAAGTGCAGGTGGTAAGAGGCCACTGCTGATGGGTTCTTTTTCATTTTCCCTTCTGTTGTTTCTGTCTGTCTGTCTTACTTTTTCCCAGCACTATATGACCATTATTGTGTAAATAAGCTTTTTTTTAAACAAAACTTAAATAAACATACAAACAAAAGTTGAAATCCGAGGCTCAAATTCGATCCTGGCTAAAATGTTTTATTCCTTCTTCCAGGAAAACCTCTCAGTCAGTAGCCCAGCATGTTAACAAGGGACCTATTTCTTTACATTGAAAATGACCTACAGAGCGTCTAGTAGGGCATTAAATTTAAACAATATTATCAATAATAAAGGCAGTGTAGAAAAAAATGACAAGCAACAGCACACTTCTCCAATCTACTCCAATCCCACCAAGGGGCTTACTGTTCTTATCCTGTCGTCAAACACCAACAGTGACACAGGGCAAGGGTCAGACTTACACTGATCCCATTAACAAAGGGAGAAAAAGAAATAGAAATCAAGAGACTAAACAAATCCCTTCACAGAGCAACCCTGTCATGAAGCTTCCTTTCAATACAAAAAAAATTGTTTCGAATGGTAAAAGTTCCCACCAAATAAATTGTGTTCCTGGATTTCATTCTAGAACTTTCCATTATAATCTTTAAAAAATGAATAACAGCGGTACACACTACACTACAACAACCCTGAGCATCCTCATGCAACTGACACTATAATCAATAAATAAAAGACTGACAAATAAAGTAACAATGAAATAATATTGTTACTGTTACTATCGTAACACAAAAGCCTAATTAATTTTTTGTTCAGAGAAAATGGACAGACACAGGTCAGAGAAAATCTTTTAAAAAGTTGCTTACCAAAGCCAACAATATCAGCTAAAGTACCGTTACAAATGTCTCAACAATTTTATTATTAAAGCTTGAAATAAAACCTATATTGAGGATACAAATCAAGTAATGGGCATTTTTAACATATCAATACCTAGAAATCTGAAACAAAAAATGACATTTAGGCAAATGTGTTTTTATTTCTGTGATGGTATGATGAGCCTTTCATAGAGAGGTACAAGACCACGTAACATTTTCGAGACAGAGAGAAAAACCTACCAAATCTTCCTCGTTCACTCTCTCAAACAAGGGAAACTGCATGAAGTGGTCCACCATCCAGTCATGAAGGTCTTTCACGTCGGTGATCGTATAAACAAAACCCTGATGACAGCCAAACAGACATATAAATGAGGTTACACAAGAGATTAAATGAGCTAGCCCTTTTTTTTCTCCCTTGATTCTCAGGGCTTATCCCTTGGTTAACCCATTCAACACGGTGAGCTGTATTTTGCCTCTCATATGGCCATAACCGACATTTTGTGGGCTCAGCAACTTTTTACTTTCTCACTCCAGAGCCCACAGACTCACACAAACCACCATATCACACCCGGATTACGTTTTTCCTTGTGAACTATCAGATCAGAAATAAATCCCCCCTGTGTTTTGATACTACATAGCATATTTCAGCTTCTTTTTCATAGTTAGAGAAAAAAAATGTGTATGATTACTCTAAAGCAACCCGACAGAATTGAAGGGGTGATAATCTCATACCACAACATCCTTCTAGTATAAAAAAGATCTCTTAACATCCCCTGGCCACCACAGAGTTCAGCATCAAAAACAGCCAGTTCTTACCCCAACTTTCATGACGTAGGCGTACTCAGCAAGCAGTGTTTGATTGATGATCCTCCATTTGTGCTTGGTCTTTTTGAAGTGCGGGTCGGGAAAGAGGAAAAACATTTTCGTAAGCTGGAAAAGAAAAACAAATTTAAATTAAATTAAAAGACAAAGTTCATCAAAACCAAACAGCAATGATTGAACTATTCAGAAATTACATCCAACACACCAATTTATTGTTAATTTACATCTTCATTGATACCGGTACATAAGGCCATGCAGGGGGAAGGCTGTTTCGATTCAGTCTAAAAAATCTTTCTGGGCAGTAGAGAATATATCAGAGTTGAAAGAGATAAATTATATCCATGAAAAAATTTCACATTGCAAAAATGGAAGTTTTATCCTTTGACTTTGATAGCAAGGGGAAGAGCCATACCGTTTTGAGATACGTGAAGGTGGCAAGTCACACTAAGATTTTATAAATGATAAGAAATAACAAAATAAATAAAAATGTACCAGATTGATTTCACATCTGGCTCAATAGTATACAACAAGAAACGTTTATGTTTTTAACTTATGATCAGCAAAAACCAAAGAACAGTGAAAGTTGCATAGAAGCCCTTACCTGCCCTTTATGGAAGAAATTTGGGAGATACTTCATAGCGTTTGCTCTGATGCAAGCAATGTTGTCGTAACTGCCAGGGTGTTGGGTCCTTAGTGCCTTCACGCGATCCTGGACGTAATCACTGACCTTGACACGAATCTCCATACCCAGCATCAGGGTCTCGGGGAAAAGGGGGGACAGGGTCACTGGAAATTGTTGTTATCAAATTAAATCAAGCTGTACACCAAACTAGACATCATAATAGAATGTGTGTGTGGTGTGTGTGGGGGGGGGGGGGTTGAGTATGTGTGGGTGTTTGTACGTGGTGAAACTGAAACGCCAAACCAATATGCCAGGATCTAGACAATAAAGACTTATTTATCTCATCTTATTTTTTAAGGTAGACATATAAGCAGACAAACACGTTCCCAATCAAGGTACAGGGTTGAAAGCAAAATGAGAAATGTCCCTACAAGAACGACAGAAACATGGATCTGTTTGAAAGCAAGCTCTAAACTTTACACTCTCATTCATGTTGGTCAAGCTCATCCAACAACTGCACATACAACTTACTAGGCCATTGAAGAGTGAGGCAACAGCAAATGAACAAGACAACAAAAAACTAGCATATCATGCAGCACACTGAAATATGAAATATACGCTCCATAAGATTTAGAGTAAAAACTCTGTTAAACTGTAAACTTTCATGCACAATGATAATATACACGATGGGATCGGGGTCTGTGGTGTAGCACTTACGCACTCCGCTGTCTCACACAGGGAAACCCCAGATTAAATTAGTTAAAAAATACAGAACATATATGTGTCACGATGAAGTAGAATTAGGCGTTTGTCAATTTTTGGTAATGTGGAGTTATTTGTATCACCAAAAAGCTTATTCTTTTGTCGTATTTTCAATGAAAAAAATACCCATCTATCTTGAATTTCACCACGATGCCTCACATTATATAATATATATATATATATATAAACTCCATTTACTCTACAAGAACCAGAACTAATTACAGTAGGTAGAAATCATCATCACTGACATCAGACTGGTGCCCATGGAAAATAGCGAATAACTCGACAGCTTCATATAACAAATTTTAACATCCAATTGTTACAGGTTGAAACAATAAAAAAAATTTTGATTAAAAAAAAACATCTACAAAAAAAAAAAAGCTTCACTGACCTAATAATCCTCCATATCCACAACCAATGTCAGCAAATTCTACCCGCTTCTGTTTTGCTGTCAACTCTGTTCCGTTTAAATCTTCTCTATCACGGCTCTCATTCTCCGTGGTGACAGGAGCAAAATGATCGGGATAGTACTTGGACCAGTCCATCAACTCTGGTTTCACTGGGCTGAAATATAAAACAAACAAAAAAACCTTTACAGAGTTGAGAAAGATATTTAATAAAGCTCTTAATTGGCTATTGCAACCAATAAATATATTTATATGTATATATCGTCTGCAAGCTGTTCAGATGTACCAAGAAAGCCCAAAATTCTGAAGGTTTTTTTAAAGCCTCTTCTTAATTTGGCATTCTCTGCTTTTGGCCCCAAGAGAACCGGAATGTCGATACTGACTTAACTACTTGGTATCGACACTTTTATCTAAAAGAGAGCAAGAGATGCACTGCTATTATTCAGTACAAAATGAGCAGTAATAGTTCATTTGTTTCTAACAAGGGGAGTTGCCCCCCGGACCTAATGAAAATATGTGTGTGTGTGTGGGGGGGGTGTCATGATTCCCTGTATTTAACCCTAATTCGATGTTTTGCAATAATTAACTTTGATATAATTTTCTCTCCCTTGACGAGCTCAAACATCATATGGCACGCACCCAACAAAAATTAATCGTTTCGAACCAGAAGTAAGCGGTGGAGCCAAAACCCATACTCCATAGTTATCGTTGGAGCCAAAACCGCATTCTTCCCTTCATTTTTGGTATCAGTATCAGTTGCATTTGCTCAAGAAATGGAAATGTTTTGTCGAAATTCAAATTCTAAATGTTGAAAAAAAGAATAGGAAAAGACGGCCAACATAATGTAGGTTGGGTACAACTACAACTGAAAAGAATTTGCTTTCTGGGTCTTGTACATTTTCACTGCTTAGTGTAAGAGTCAGCCAATGCCATGTATGAACAAGTATAGTATATTATATATTATCAATTTGAAAAGTGACGCACGACAGTCTTGCATTGTTGAGCAGTCGATTTGAACAGCTTGCGGAGGATACAATTGTAATCGTACTTTTAAGTCTTTCTTTTCTATCCAGTGTACACATTTAATACTCAATGATATACAGTGGAATCCTGTTATAACGAGAGGGAGGGGACCGGTGCGAAATGTCCGTTATAGGAGGATTCTTGTTACAAGAGATCCAGTAATAAATTCAAGGAAAATAGTAAAGTAGGCCTAATCTATGATTTGGCGTTCTGTTTATTCCTTTTTGTATTTCCCCTGATGATGATTTGTTCAACATGATCTCAAGGTCTTACTTGATCAAAAATCGAATCAGGTTTCTTTCTCTAGCACTAGCAATGTTGACAAATCGGTCTTGGCGATCAGAAAGAAGGGGCTCTGGCTCTTGGCTAACTCGCCCGCAGGGTTGTCCCCCACCCCACCACACACTGTGGTGCGTTGCGTCTGCTCGCACACGTCATACATTCTCTCCATCCATCTATCACAGCATTGTGACCTCTCCATTCCGCACCAGAGAAGTGAGAGGCACGGTATGCCTAGATAATCTAGACTGGGCTGGCCTATCACGCGATGCCTTCACTCCGGCCTTCATTGTTGGTTCGTGTGGGCTCTCCCATTCCTTATTTTGCTGGATCACCGACAACTGTCTCAACTGGCAAGGTTTTATAATAATGTTTAATTGGTCTGTGCACTGTGCACAGTAGCAGCAATATTCCGTTATAAACGACTCGCGTGACGGTCTGATTGCGCAATAGCAGTATTTTTTTACAAAGATAAAGAAGGAAAAAAAACGGGGTTTTAGAACAGTGTCTTTATAACAGACTTCTTGTTGTTTCAGGACTCGTTATAAGTGGACTCCACTGCAATATATACATATCTGCACAGGTGAACATATACATGATTTATCCTGAAATATAATATGTGGAGTTCTCAGGCTCTAGTCTCTAGACTATTACTTATATCTTGTTCACTTTTGTCTGACTGCGTAAAAAAATTCTAGCTCATTTACTAATTCACTTATGTCCATGAAATTTTGCATGACACTTCTCTACAGGCCAGCAACCAAACAATCTTTTTCAAAATCGCGATCCAGTGATAAAAAAGTTTTTCTATTCAGGCCCTATATTAACACACTTACAGTACCATCGGAGACTTAAGTCGCCAGGCATAGTATATGCTCATTTAGTCACTGACGCAACCAGGGACACTAAACTGTCTAAAAATAATTAAACGACGAATGGACGCAATGTGCACAGAAGTAAACACCAAAGGAAGTCACTCTATATGATAGCTGAATGGTTGATGAACCTCTATGAATTTTTAAAGCTTGTTTCTTGGCTGCCAAGGTTTTTTTTAAGTTAAAAAAATTCTACCACAGCTTTCAGCGTTCTAAACTGGTGCTGTGCTTGAGGGTTTTTCACTATATATATGCATATATATATGCATATATATATATATATATATATATATATTTATATACGCCTTCGGTACTGTTAGTGCTAAAAACCGCTCTTTGGATGCATTAAAGGCCTACACAAGGTCGCTAAAATATATGACTTACAGTAACCATGCCTTCAAATTGCATATTTTGAAAGTTACACCACACTATTCCCTCATTTCAGTGTAAGCTTTAGATTTCATCCCCCAACTATCTAGACGTCTCTACGTGTTCCACGTGAGTCTCGAAAATTACTCACCCCATCTCTTGAATCGTGTTTCTTAGGCGTACATTTTGGAGGCGTGGTGTTGACAAAAATATGTTAACTTTTTAAAAATGTTTTAGGTGTGTATGCTGTAAATCTCTTATTATTTTTTTTACTCGCTTTAATAGTTTTATAGGCTTACAATAATTACATAAAAAGAAAGGCGAAGCCTTCCTTTGTTTGCGGTGACCTTTATGAATGGGCTTTTACTTTTAGATTCTGTTGTTTATCTAACTTTTAATAGACCTGTAATACAAAGATCTGAGAAAATTAAACAGAGGGATCAGACAAAAGTGAACTGAACAAGCTATGCAGACATGCGATTAAACGTAGAACGACGCAAACTATTTTTAGGAAAGGAGGCCATCTTGTGTGACGTCAGATTGGGATACCCCTCCTATTATGTGACTACATGATCTAAACATAGCAGAGCTAACCGCATGGCACCAAAGATCGTGTATACCTACAAAGGCACCACATTTGGTGCGATGTTTTTCCAGGAGACATACCGGTAATGTGATATGATGCAGTGCTCCGATGATGCTGCTGCTTATCTCTTCTGCGCATTGTTTATCGGGCCCGGGGGGGTAATCTCCGGGCGCCTTTATGGCAAATTTAGCGTGCTTTATTGTCTTTGCATTTTTACCGTGTTTCAATTTCAAGCATCAGCGTTCTTACGGTTCTGAGCATCAACGATCAAAAAGTCATCTTACATCATCAGAGCATGGCTGATGAGCTGCAATTAGCCGCAAGTGTGAAATTTTATCGTGCAAAACACATCGATACGGATACAGTGGAATCCTGTTATAAAGTGCGATTTGGTGGGTGGGGTCAATTCAGGGAGGGGACCAGAGCAAAAATGACCGTTATAGCAGGATTCTCGCTATAAGGGATCCAGTAATAAATTTAATGGAAACTGTAAAGTACGCCTAATCTATGAGTTTGGTGTTCTATTTCTTTTTGCTATTTGCCTTGATAATGATTTTGTTTCAAAATGACCTCTAGGTCTTACTTGATCAAAAATCGAATCAGATTTCTTTCTCTAGCGCTAGATCTAGCGATGTGGACTGACAGCTCGGCATTGGGGATCAGAAAGAAAAGGCTCTGGGCTAACTCGCTCGCTGTGTTTTCCCCCACCCCACCCAGTGGTGCATTCTGTCAGCTTGCACACGTCACACATTCGCTCTATCCATCACATTGCTGTGACCTCTCCATCCCCGCATTGGAGAAGTGAGAGGCATGGTAGGCCTTGATAATTTAAACTAGGCTTACGCTGGCCTATCACGCGATGCGTTCTGCTTGTCTGCGCATGCCACACCCTCCCTACTCAGTTGCTCCGGCCTTCATTGTTGACGCACATGTGCATAGCAGCAGCAATATTCCGCTATACCCGACTCGCACGTTTGTCTGATAGCGCTATAGGAGTATTTTATTTACAAAGGTAAAGAGGAGAAAAAAACAGGGTTTTAGAATAGTGCCTTTATAACAGACTTCTCGTTTTTTCTGGAGTTGTCATAGATCTAAGTGGACTCCACTGTAATAGGTCAAGCCACAGACCCAACACGTCATTCCATCTGGTACCTCCAAAGATTCTCTACCTATTACAAGTGCATCACGGCGTCACTTTTCGCCCGATTCTGTTACTTTTAGTTCGCATGACTCAGCAGCCGGCCGGAGCTCCCCGGCCTGGGGTCACGGGGTTAATGAGCCCTGAAGCCACTATGCCGGTGTCGGTTAGGAAGTTCGCATTTTTGACCATGTTTAAAACGATATAACTTCTTCCCCATCTCACACAGAAAACCATTACGCAGATGTACTAAAAGCTCAATGTCTTGAGATTTATTCTGCGTTAGAATGGTTAATTTCTGTGCCTTAGTTTTTGTTCTAGACAAGTGTTTGTAGAGTACCCAATTTGTCCTATTTTAGTTACAAACTTATGAATAATGATTGTTAATTTTAAAAAGGCACGACTACGAATATCATGTCTTTTACCATGAGAAATCTTAAATCTGCGCGAGTAGAAATAGTCAAGTTATAAGAGAAAAAAGATGCACATCTGCATTTTTTAACTAAAGACGATCAGCGTTAGCTCTTGCTCTACCATTAAACAAGAGAAAGTTACTCTGCATTTGTTCATGAATCATGTTGGGTCTGTGGCAGCCTGTATACAACTAAAAAGATATAATATAAAAACCGTATGAACACATGGTGTAGAGATAAACTTCTTGTATGGAATAAAAAATAATGACAGCTAACACATTCATTCTTAGTTTTTGTGTCGGAAATATGCGCGGACACAATTATGAATGTAAAGAAATCAGTCACATTGTCAGTTATTGCAAATGGTCATGATAGAAATGAAAAATAAAGCTGGAAAAGTCTGGTGCTGATTCAGTGTCCCTGGAAAGCTAGAAATTATTCTTATAACCCAATTACGAAAAGTCATCCCTATTATTCAGTCAACTTACAAAACTTAGACTTAGCGTTTTAAGAAAAGTAAGGAATTTCTGGAGTGTAACAAATATTGTTCGTGTATTACATTGAAGATGTATTCTGGCACTAAAATCGATTTGTACTTTTCATAGAGAAACTTCACGGTAACTTTTATAAACTTTTGAGAAAGTATGCAAATATTCACAATTATATTAGACACATAAAGTTGTATTTGGAGGAATTATTTCATAGAGCGAATTGTGCACCCGATGAATAAAGTTGCAAAATTACAGCTTTCTGTTATATGCGCAGATACCATCTTTTCAGAGTATCTGCACCAATGTTATGTCGTTCATGTTCCAAAAGTTCGACAGATTTTGTCAAGGCCTTTTTCTATATATTGATTTTTTTTCATTCACGCAAGTCAAAAAAAAATTACAATTTAGCATTGCCGACTTCAGCGCGTCTAACGAAATAACCAGACAAGTTACAACGTCCGTTCTTTTTTGAGTCTCAAGAGCAGAAACGCATGCTTTGGGTGCACTAAATGAGAATTACCATAAATACAAGATACACCTTAAATTGTACGTTGAAAAGTACCAAAAATTCAGTCGGCCCAGACAGAGCGGCGACAGGGAGCTGACCCCCGTGACCCCGACGTGATAAGGCGCTCGGCGGGGAACCCCCCCCCGGCAACTAAAATTCCACCGCCGGTGCGCCGTGGCATACATACGATCTTTGGTACCTCTACGGTCTTATAAAAATAGTCTGTGGGTATCCCAGGTAGTGATGACATCAAATTACTAAAATTAGCAGCCAATCAGGAAGATGCGTCGTTCTACGTTTACAGACCTGCCACTCTATGAAACCTCAAAATCAGGATCTCAGGGAGAAAAAATCGGGATTTGGTGAAAAAAATCGGGATCAACAGCAAATCACCAAGGTGACTGCCAAAGCTGACTTACAATTTTTCCAGGGGTGTCCATAAATTACTAGGCCTCTATGCCCTCTGTTTGTCTTTGTTTGTTTGCGTGCGCGGGCGCGCGCGTGTGTGTGTGTGTGTGTGTGCGTGCGTGTGTGCGTGCGAGCGAGTTATCATTATTTTTTGTAAATCCTGAAGCATCGCATCAAGCATTCAGAGTCCGAGTGTCTATACTCCCCCCCCCCCCCTACCCCTACCAATAAGTCCCGAAATACATGAACTTAAGTTGACCCCGTCAACGGATGGTCCCCGACACGCAGAACTCACACGGTGATGTCATGTCACGTGACGCAAATGCACGATTGAAACAATTTTTTTACTGACGGGTCCGACTAACTGCACGTTCACACAAAACACTTGGATGAGCGACAGTCGTTCTACTTCTAGGATAACGATGGTGGCCGACCGACCAAATATACAGTAACAAATCTCTTCCCTCATAATGCGTTCAGACTAAAGCAACGACAACAGCCGTATGTTAGTCTTGTCAGCGCAGTTACATGTAGTTGTGTAAGGGTTAGAAAGACTGTCGTTCGGCCAAGTGTTTGATGTGAACGCCCAGTTACCAGACCTCGGACAAGGCTTGTTTTGAAAGTAACAGCGGAACTACGAATATTATCAATTATTTTTGTATCATGTCCCAAACTGTAACAGTTACCAGGCTATCATTGGAGAATCCTGAGTGCGGGCAAAGATCCCACACAACTTAGGGCGAGTCAACTACTAAATGCGGCATCCAGGGTTGGTGATTTTCTTTATTTAAATCGGATTTTTTTTTTTTTTTTAAAATGTCGACACAGTTTGGGATTTTTGGTGGCTAAAAGTATGTTCTTTTAGTGCAAAATGCATTGTCTTTATTTTAACTAATGATTAATTTAAGCAACTGCAATTTTAGAAAGCCTTAATCTGCTATATCAGTGAATTATGGCTACAGACAAAAAAATGAAGAAAATGTCAGTCTAAAAGGAAGGGGGGGGGGGGGGGGTAATTATGCATAGATAAACTTGCATTTTATTTTTATTACAGTGTGTGTGTGAGCACGCGCTTGTGTTTGTCGAAAAAGAAAAAGAAAATGCTAATTTCAATTTTGAAAAAAAAGTAAATTGAATACTGTATTATTTTACTACTTACAGTGACAGGGGGGGGAAGCAGACTTTTAAGCAATTTTAGTCTACTAAACCTTATATCTGTTTTATAAAACCAAGGAAAGGAATTCTGAATGTTTAAAGATGTAAAAACAGAAAACATTTTTTTAAAGTGATTTAAATCACTGAGTTTTATTTTTTAAATAAAGTTGATTTAAATATAAAAAAATCAACTGATTTAAATCGACCCGATTTAAATCAACCCAACCCTGGTTTTCAATTATGAAAAAAAAGTAAATTGAGAACTGTATTATTTTACAGTGACAGGGGGAAAGCAGACTTTTAAGCATGATTATATTAGTCTACTAAACCTTATATCGGTTTTTAATAAAACCAAGGAAAGGAATTCTGAAAGTTTAAATATGTAAAAACTGAATACATTTTTTTGAAAATTATTTTTAAAATCAAATTGATTAAAATTTTTAAAAAATCAACTGATTTAAATCAACCCAGCTCTGATTTCAATTATGGAAAAAAAAGTAAATTGAATACTGTATTATTTTACAGTGAAAGGGGGGAAATCAGACTTTTAAGCATGATTATATTAGTCTACTGAACCTTTTATATCTGTTTTATGAAACCAAGGAAAGGAATTCTGAATGTTGAAATGTGTAAAAACCGAATAAAAATAATTTAAAAAAAAAGTGATTTAAATCACTGATTTTTATTTAAAAAATCAAGTTGATTTAAATTTAAAAAATCAACTGATTTAAATCAACCCAACCCTGGCGGCATCGATATTTCGGGAAATAGTGCTCAGAGTTCCTACTGACAAAAAGTTCAGATGCTTCCCGCGGTAAAGGAGAAGACAGAGTAAGTTTTTAGAAAAATCCGGCACAACAGCAGACTGGGACAAAAATCGGGATACACGCGATCAAAATCGGGAAAATCGGGATGCCTGAGATTTAGGGCAAAAAATCGGGATGCTTGAGATTTGGGGCAAAAAATCGAGATATCCCCACTAAATCGGGATGAGTGGCAGGTCTGCGTTTAGAAGCATAGAATCTATGTGATGCAGCTAAGTTTAAGTTACTCAAATAAGAGTAGTTTATTAGTAGTGCATTATTACTCAGATGATCTTACTGTCTGTTAGTGTTGTCGAAAGGCCACCTCTATTCTCACCCGGAGTGAGAATAGTGCAGGCGAGTCTTGTGGCTATTCTCACCCGGTGCGCGTTCACCAAATTTTGCGTCAACCCTAAACCACAGAATTCTACACTGTGATAACAGAAAAATTGTAGAATTCTGTGCCGTGAACAAACGTTCCATCACAACTGTAGCCTACTAAAAGCGTACATCTGTGGGCAGTGGAGAGAGAGAAAGAGAGAGAGGAGTAGCGCGAGAATTTCCGGGCAAAACAAAATGGCGACCCGCGTAGTTCGGCTCGATTCAAAAAGTTAAATAGCCGTAGCATCTTTGTAGACAACCAAATTAATTTACTTTTGTGTTTTAACATCATTTTTTAACTTTGTTTTGGTCAATTTGATCGTCCACACCGATAGACAGTATTCAGAAAGAGACAGAGAGAGAGAGAAGAGGGGAGGAGTTGATCTTGCGAGAACTTCCGGGCGGGTGAGAATAGCCACTTTCGCAAACGAAATCTAAAATTGAATTACAAGTTACAGTCTACAGTGCGACTACAGTAGCCTACACTTAATCTACACACTACCTACACTACACAAAACTTACTATTCAAGATTGTGATCCGAATTTGGGTTAGCATGAGCTCTCTGCCTGTAGTATTTTTTCTGGGGTAACTTTGCATCCATCTTGAAACACAGAGGAGGAATCCCAAAATATTGATCAGTATGTTCCTTCTTCTAGCCTACACCGCTAACAACATTGCATTATATTGCATCTATAGAGGCTTGAGATCTTGGTCTTTGCATGCACAATGCACACCGGAAGTAAGAAAACGAAAGCAAATTGTGCCCTGTTGGGTTGATCTTAAATAAATTTTAAAGTTCTGTCTAGTTGAGTTTACCAATAAGGGAGGTTACTCAAAAAAATAAAATCCATAGCATTTGGAGTTTGGAGTTTGGTTGGATTGGAGTTTGGAGTCCAGCCACACTAAAATTTTAACGCTACAATACACAACAAGTAGGTTTTGAAGTTGAAGACAAGTTTACAGTTTAGTAAAGGTGCCTGTTCCTCTGCCGAGCAACTTTTAAAAGAATAAATCAGCAAGCTGCAAGCGTAAGGGTGAACTGGATTCTAATCTTAGATCTATCATAATACTAGTACTATAGACTCCTTTATTAATTTTTCCCTGTCTTCCAGACTTCCAGAGCTTCTCCAGTGACGGCCAGGGTTACCGTTGCCATGCCATTAATAATTAGAAATCTAGATCTAGATTCTAGATGTAAATTAATTAAATCTAAACTCTAGATAGATTTAGAATTTATTCTTTATCTAGATCTAGATTCTAGATTTCTAGATATCTAGAAAAATCTGGTTCCCGTTTAGGAATACTAGAAATCTAGTTGGGACCCCCCGGACAATTACTTCTGGTTCTAAACAATGAATCCAGGTTTCTTTTTGATGCGCATGCGTTCCAATAGTATAGACTTTATTCAGCCTATCCACCTAGATTTCTAGATATCTAGAAAAATCTGGTTCCCGTTTAGGAATAGATCTACTAGAAATCTAGTTGGGACCCCACAGACGATTACATCTGGTTCTAAACAATGAATCCAGGCTACTTTTTGATGCGCGTGCGTTCCAATAGTATAGAGACTTTATTCAGCCCATCCACCTACAGTGGAAACCATTATATATATAGATCTAGAACTAACAGGCCCGGTAATAACGGCGATTCCTGAAATTTTTTTCTTACTTTTTGTCTCTGTTAAAAGTTCGGCAATAATAGGGCCTCATCGGAGCCCAATCGGTTATAGCAGGGACGAAGGTTTGTTCATAATGTGTAAAAAGAAAGAGAGAGAGAAACGCAGGGATGGAGAAAGCTCACGCAAGCCACGCCATTACAAACTCACACAGCAGGTGAAGCGAGAGAGGGTTGGGGTGTGCTGCAGACTTTGATCTAGCCCTAGCCTAGCTACTCACACCCAATATGTCATGCGCAAGCCTGCCGCATGGACAAAACCCCTATTCGTGGCGTACTTGTGGGAAGGGAAACTACTCATGAATAAATACAGCTGGATTAGTCAACGAATGCTTACTTCCCTTGCATTTCTGATTTAACAGGGATCTGACAGGACGTTTTCTCTGGTCCCACCATCCCTGTTACATCAGGTTTCCACTGTTGTAATTGCTAAACATCAAATTATGGTAAAATTCAGGGGGGGCTGAAACCCCCCTTGATGTTTTTGTTAGGTCAGCCCCCCCCCCCTTAAACCCTCCTTGCCTTGTTAAAAACAAGTGAAATTTTACTGCTCTTTTTGTATGGCTAGATCTACTGATAAAACCATCAATACCGATTATTTAAATCAGTAGGCCTATTGATATCCAGCACTCTGTTTGGATGATGTCAAGTCTAAACAGACGGGACCCAGATTCTTAAGTTGTACCGACATCTCTAGGTTGAATAGTTTCTTTTGAGTTTGAGTGAGAGGGCTTTTAAAGTACGAGTCAAGTCACTCGTCACTCCGTCAGTTCATTCTCGAAGATTGTCTGAAGAATCTCGTTCCTTAACGCTCTACGTATAACCTAACTTGACTCTGTCTAATCCGGAATCCCTTGCTAGCCATGGCTAGTCTACATTAGGTTTGGGTTGTTGTACTATACTTCAAAGGAATCAGGATGATGAGAAACGGGTTAGAGATAATTTTTATGTTTGATGGTTATGTCTACGGAGGAACTATATCTCTAAATCTAGATCTAGAGTATTTAAAGGCTATTAAAATGTTTGGTGCACACTGTGCACCATCAATACCGATTATTTAAATCAGTAGGCCTATTGATATCCAGCACTCTGTTTGGATGATGTCAAGTCTAAACAGACGGGACCCAGATTCTTAAGTTGTACCGACATCTCTAGGTTGAATAGTTTCTTTTGAGTTTGAGTGAGAGGGCTTTTAAAGTACGAGTCAAGTCACTCGTCACTCCGTCAGTTCATTCTCGAAGATTGTCTGAAGAATCTCGTTCCTTAACGCTCTACTTATAACCTAACTTTACTCTGTCTAATCCGGAATCCCTTGCTAGCCATGGCTAGTCTACATTAGGTTTGGGTTGTTGTAATACTTCACAGGAATCTGGATGATGAGAAACGGGTTAGAGATAATTTTTATGTTTGATGGTTATGTCTACGGAGGAACTATATCTCTAAATCTAGATCTAGAGTATTTAAAGGCTATTAAAATGTTTGGTGCACACTGACGAAAAATAATCCTCAGTGAACTTTTTTTTGGGTTTGGTTTGATATAAAATAGATTATATATTGTTGTTAATTACATCATGTATAGATCTCTAGTATTATCATTGGTGTGAGGTAAATATATCATACCTTACTGTTGGTCTCTTCATTACCAACACAGTCTAAGGGACATGTATGCCATGTAGGCCTAAACTTGCGCTCTTTACTACCATGTATGTGTCACGACGCTGTGGAATCAGGCGTTCGTAAATTTTTGGACATGTGGAGTTATTGGTATACAGCATGTTCTATTGTCTTGCTTTTGGTGAAAAAAATACTCATCTATCATGAAGAGTAGAAGTCGAGATATTTGCGATTGAAGAAAGTGGGGGTCGCCTGGTTTAAGAGGTAAAATTAATTAGCGAGAAAATGGCCTCCAAAGTTTGGCAACTTCCAAAGCTTAAGAGTCCTTTGAAACTGCAAATTAAAATTTTTGTGCCTTAAAGCAACATTTTTTAGTGAAATCCACACAGAAATGTGTTTTTATATGGACCTTAAAGGTGTTGAGTCCAAAAAGAAATTAGGTAAAAATGGCCAAACAGACAGAAAAATTACAATTTTTTAAATTTCATTATTTTGACGAACGCCTGATTTCACCAAGATTCCTCACATATTAAATAGAATCTTAACCAGTTGCCTAGCTCATGACACATGCTTTCTGTGCACAGCCAATTATTTATGAACAGTGCTTTTTGTCTTTTGTTTGAATGTTGTAATAATAATTTTCAAACTGTTTAAATTTTGCCCTCTACTATAGGCATCATCACTTGTGGACCTGCATTATGTTGCAACAAGGGGAATCCCTCAGCTTACTGGCTTGTGTGGTCAAATGTCGCCTTGGAGAGGTCAAGGATGAGTGCTCAGCTTGTGGCATTGTGTTGCGTCCAGATCAAGGAATTGTTCTCACCCACGGCTCTGTGCTGGCAGATCTTATTCTTCAAGACGATGCGCTGAAAGATATGGTGAAAAGTGGGCAGTTTATAGATGGAATATGTTTGAAGGACTGTGAGTTTGATGTACTTTTAGACAGGAGATGGTGTGAGACGAGCAAGGGTCAAGTTGTGTGGCCAGTGGCAGCTTCAGACGCTTCATACATGAAAAGTCTCCGCAATGGGAGTGTAACATCATATACGAAAGTTCACAGCAAATTTCTCGGAGCATTTAGAAATGATCATTTCCACCAGACAGTCAGTTCTCTTATGCCAAAAAGTAACTGGAAATTTGCAAATGATGTCTCAGATGAAAGTTTGAGTATGGAGGAGTCGGAAAAGGAAACTTCTACTTCCAAGTCAGCCCTTGATGAAAGTGAAATTGCTTTCCAGCTCTTAAGTTATTTCTTGGTATTAAGGATAGCGCCCATAACATTACATCAGAATGACGGTGTCAAAAATGGTCTGGAAACATTTGTGAGTGAGAGAAGTGTGTGTTCTGCCGGGGATGTCGCTGAGCTTATTGCGACGCCATTTGGAGGGCTCAGTCCGGGCGTGTTCTTTAACTCCTTCAGCCGCGGAGTGGTCAGCAACGTCAGCGGGCCGCGTAACTGCTGGATACTGACAGACGCTCGCTGCATTCCTGGGTCAGAGGGCGCTCCTCTCTTCACGAGTGGGAAGGGTGAATCTGGCAGGTAAAATAAATCAGCTCTTACACACGTCTTGATTCTTACTCATGAAATGTCGTCACTCAGTTTCTTAATTGTTGCTTCACGTTGTATTGCACAAGTCACATATGACATTAGAATTAAAATTCATGCCAATCTTTGGGATGGTTTACAATTCTCCTTCTCAAAATGCATAATTAGCAGCCATGACAGAGTTTTACACTACTGAGCAGTCGATTTGAACAGTTTACTGACTGATTTGTAAACTATAAGATAGCAGGTCTCTAAGGTGCTATTGGAATTTGAGACTTGTTTTACTGCTTTTTTTCTTGAGAAATCAATATCTGTTAAAGATATAGTGTTGATGAAGAGCTTTTTCTTCCGAGCTAACAGAGGTAGATATATACAATTTGTTTGCACTTCAAGCTTCTTCTCTATTTATGTAAGTTGGAAAAAGAAAGTTATAGTTTTAGTTCTGCTGCTTTTATAAGAAGGTGCCATGGATAGGTCCTTCTTTTTTATTACTGTCCTTCTCGTTGATTTTAACTTTCCCTCTAGCTTTTTCACACCTCCTAATGGCCATTATTTCCCCAGTGTTCTTTTCTGTTACTCTAGAGCAGCTAACAAATTTCCATCTTGATGACGTTTCAGGCATCTGACAGGTATTGTTGCAGCATCTCTGTGCTGGAAGAATAATGAATGGGTTGGCTTCTCTGTGGCTTGTAGTCTAGACAGTATCATGCACTCACTGACGCAACAAGTTCAAAGACTGCATCCAGGACGTTCGATGGCAGCTCTGGGGTGGACTGATTCCTTGAGTAGTGTTGCTGCTTGGAGACGCCTCTCTGTGCCTCATGCGGGTAATGGTAAATGATTTGTATGACAATGTGTGTGTGTGCGTGGGGGAGGGGGAACATGTTCAAATACGCACACTCTCAGGGCACGCGCACACACACTCACACACACACAAACACACACACACACTCACACACACAAACACACACACACACATACATGTACACACTAATTTGGTTAAATTGAGTTGTTATCAACCCAGTAGTCTTTTACGTCATGTGGTTCTCCCTACTCCCTATACGCTCTGCCTCTGAATGCAAACAGTTTTTAACAATCTTAGCTTCAGCTAATATAACTGCATTTAAGTTTAAGGGACATCATTTTTTTCATGCTATAATCATGATTCCCAGGTTTAAGTTTGTAATATGGTCTCTTTACATTTGTTTTTGCACCTGTTCACAGCATCAAAGGACTGGTTGCTAGCGACGACTGTTCTGGTTCAGGTCGGAAGCACGTGGGGGTCAGGGGTCATTGTCCACCAAGGTGAAGGTCTCATCCTCACCTGCTCACATGTGGTCAAAGATGCAGACTCTCATTCTGGTAAATGGAAACATTGAAATGAAGTGTTTTTGAAAAGTTTTTAATGCATCGTTTTTGTGCACTACTCTGTTTTTATTGTGTCTGTGTACTAGTGTATGTTTTTGTGGGGTGTGTGTGTGTGTGTGTGTGTGTGTATGTTTTTGTGGGGGGTGTGTGTGTGTGTGCGTGTGTGTGTGTGTATGTGTGTGTGTGTTTAATATGGCATGTGTGTGTTAGTGAGGGAAGTGCATCTTGTATGTTTTAGGAAAATGACCACAAGGTGGTGTTCAGGGAAAGAGACAGCACTTTATGATGGACATGAACTAGAGAGAGTGAAAGATTGTGATTTTGTATGACTGCCACTTTGTATGTAGGCTATGTACTTCTTGTCAGTGTCCTGCCTATAACAGTATATCTGCCAAATTAGGTCAGACACTTTTTTTGTCTCAAGTTTAAGTACATGTATATTAATTTTTAAGGTGTGATATTTTTATTAATGTAATGCGCATTGAACATTTTTTTAGAAAATGGAAATGCGCTGCTTAAATGCTATTTATTTTTATTATTATTGTTAGCCACATTTTAAAAAATTCAGACAAAACCGATAGTTTTTTACATGAAATTGTCTGGTAATCAATTCGCATACAACACCAATAGTAAGAAAGAAATTAAGAAATGTTCTTAAAATCAGTATTCATGCACATGCACAGATAGAGTCGGACACCTACATACTACATTATATATACTGTGTACTTTAAATTTCTGAGAGTATATATATTATTATTTTTTTAACATGGCAGTTAATAAATTTAAGGAAACAAAAGTTTCAGTTTTTCAGGTTGTCAACTACAATGATTTTTTCTTCCTTCTTTTCTCTCTGATCTGATAACTGGACCACTTTGATTTGCTTCAGTCCTTGTCAGGGCTTGCGGTGGCTCAGAGCACTACAAAGCGGAGGTGTTGTACCGCCAGAACCCCGTGGACGGACCATTTGACGTGGCGGTGCTGAGATGCCGCAAGGCAACGGCCCAATCATCTGCGTCATCAGCATTGTCCATTGTAAAACCTGTTGTTGGTGAGGAGAACTGTCTTTTAGCTCCATCGTAGCAGTCTTTTGGGGGTTGCAAGGAGGCAAGGCTTTTTTGAAGTTTGAACAGTTGATTTGGCCCTTCATCAGCTTTTCCTAGATTTGTAGCGACAGTTTCTAGAAAAATCACCTGTTCTATAAACAACCACTACCCATTTCCCCACTTGATGTGGGTATTTTTCTGATACTGCTCAGAGTTAATATTTTCTAGAGTCAATTTTTTTTTCCATGAACCAAACTTTTTTCACGGAACATTTTTTGGGGCATTGTGCAGGGTTTTGTTTCTAATGTCAGTGTCTCTCTGTGTTTTGCCCTCCCCCTTCCCTTCTCCCTCCCACCTCTCACCTATCACCTCCTACCACAGGGCAGCGGGTGTACGCTGTGGGCCACGCTGTGTTCAGCGCTGACTCTGACCTACCACCCTCAGTTTCTGCAGGCGTCGTGTCCAAAATTGTCTGTTCTGGAGGTCAGCCCGTCATGGTGCAGGTGAGTCTTCTCAATTTGCATATATGTGTCCCTGCCGGTCAATATCAGTCATATGAAGGAAATTTCAAAACTGGGTTAACATTATTTTTTAAAACTATCACCTTTTCCCTACGTTGGAGCAAAGATTTTCTACTAGTGGAGAATCTTTAGCTGAAGCAAAGGTGGCCCTGAGGTAATGGTTCTAAAAATAATCTCACAGCTACACACTAGCAAGATCCAAATTCCCATACCACGTCACCCCAGCTCACAACAAACCACACACACTTCCAAAATAAATCAAAATAAAATATTTATAGTCGATTATAGTTGTTTATTTTTATCTTAAGTGAAGCAGAAGACATCAAACTTTCAATATATCCAAAACACAAAAATTTCATGGAAAGTCACTTTTTTTGCCTTTCGAGCCTTGTAGCTGATAATAGCAGAGTGTGTCTTACGACTGATGTTGAGTGGGGCAGACAGATGTATGCAAATATATTGAAGTTGTCGATACACAAATGGGCCCAGTCCACTCAAGTTTATATTTCAGGAGGAGCTTAAACTGCGAAAAAAAAATTTTTTAAGGAATACTCAACCATAAGGTTTTCTACATTTGTTTAAAGAATATAAAATCTGTTAAGCTAGCAAGTCTTACGAAAGATCTAATAAAAGGAAAAGTGCAGATAGTTGGAGGGTGTCACTAGCAGGTTTTATTTTGAATTCCCTCTGTTGTCTCTGTCCGTCTGTCTTAACTTTGTCCTTGTATTTCATGACTATTATTGTATAAGTCTGCTTCTCTTTATTCTTTTATTTTGTCAACTTGGATCCCATTCTAGTTTGTTCATTTTTTGTGTGTCTGTTTTGTGTTATGTTCTTTGTGTGCGGGTCCACATGTACGCATTTAGTGTCTGTTGTTCTCCATCCATCGGGCCACATGTATGCGTTTAGTGTCTTTGTGCTGGTGGGTGGTTGGTGGGTGCTCTAGTGTTGTTTGCTCCTTCTTTCCTATCAAACACCTATCATCCTGATCTCTCCTCCTTCTTTTTTATGTTTGTTACTCTCTTGTAACACCTCTAGTCTTCGGCACTTGTATGGCCTTATTGTGTTGCAAGTGCCATAAAACTCTTTCTAAAACTAAAAAAGTGTCTTTGTTGTTCTCCATGCATCAGTCCACATGTGCGGTCCACCCAGGGGCCAGCGGGGGTCCTCTGCTGTCTGCCAGCGGTCAGCTGGTTGGGATTCTTGTCTGTAACACCAGGTACGTGGTGCTCATCTCTTTTTTTCTTTTTTTCCCCTTTTTCCCCTCAAGTGTTTGTAGAAAGAAAAGTTCTCTGCGTCACTTTTCGCCCGATTCTGTTACTTTTAGTTAGCATGACTTAGCAGCCCGCCGAAACTCCCTGGCTCGGGGTCACGGGATTAATAAGCTCTGAACCAACTTTGACAGTGTCGGTTAAGAAGTTCACATTTTTGTCTTGGTTTGAAATGATATAACTTCTTCCCCTCCGCACACATCAAACCACTACACTGATGTACTAAAAGCTCAATGTCTTTGAGATTTATTCTGTGTTAGAATGGTTAATTTCTGGGCCTTAGTTTTTGTTCTAGACAAGTGTTCGTAGAGTACCCAATTTGTCCTATTTTAGTTACAAACTTATGAATAAATTGTTGTTTATTTAAAAACGGCACGACAGATCTCTCCAAAATCTATGTTAAACTGACTACGAATATCATTTCTTTTACCATGAGAAATCTTAAATCTGCACAAGTAGTTATAGTCAAGTTATAAGAAAAGAAAGATGCACTTCTGCACTTTTTAACTAAAGACACTCAGCGTTAGCTCTGGTTTCACTAATAAACAAGAGAAAGTTACTCTGCGTTTGTTCATGAATCATGCTGTGTCTGTGGCAGCCTGCATACAACTAAGATGTGTCCCCAACGTGATAAGGCGCTGGTTCCCCGCTGCAACTAAAATTCCCTGCCAGTGCGCCGTGAGTTACTCTAACTCTTTAATTTTTTGTCTCTTTTGAAGAATGCAGAATTTGTAACCTGAGATTGTAACTGTAGTTTTCAGCAAAACTAACGCTACAACAACAGTGTCTACTACTTCTGCTGCCAGGGAAAATTGTTATCGAGTATCTCAGTCTTTCTGCTGGGATAGTGTATTCCCTCTCGGCCGGAGTGGGCCCTGACAGGCGTTGTCGAAGCCTGCCTTCTATATGGTGTAGATTGCATCAATGGGAGCATAAAAACACCTACGTTTAATTTGTTTTTCCTCTCTCCTCTCTTCTCCGCAGAGACCAGAGCAACAGTAGCTGCTTCCCCCACGTCAACATGAGTGTGCCGGCCGTGGCCGCCTGGACCGCTGTGCAGAAGTACAGGAGGACCGGAGGTGATCACATTACACCTGTTAAATATTATCTTCATCTGACCTTTTTTTAAAGTCATTGCCGTCTTTGTTGTTGTTAATTCAGAAGCCTTTGGACATGTGTCCTTTGGCCCATACCAAAATGTTATTTTGCTTAGAAAGAGAAGTATTTGTATGAATTACATGGATGGGCATTTTGATATTAATGGTAAACATATTACAGTAGAGTCCACGAATCTCGAACACGAAAATCACGAATTCTCGGGTATCTCCAAATAATGCTCGGTCCCGTTTCAGTCCATTGATTTCTTTGTATTGACTTCACAGAGTTCTTTAACACTCGGAACACGCGACACTCGAATTTCGAACAAATTCACTTTGCATTCTCAACTAAAGACTAGGCTTTACAGCCCTTCTGGCCGCGGGTAGGTGTTTCTTTGTTATTGTTCCAGCCATAACGTGGTCCTTGTCTCACCGCGAGAGGCTGGAGGAAGGGGGGTCGGGGAAGGGGGGGTTGGGGAGTGATCTTGACCACATGACTGGCTCACCACGCGTGCAATCATGCTGTGGGTCGCGCGCGGAGCGGATGGCAAGAGGGACTTCAGGGTAAGCTTCCTGTAAGCCAATAAAACGAGAGGAAAGGAATGACATAGGAGTCGGCTGTGCACACGTGAGATTTTCTGCTTTCCACTTTCATTCATCTTTTTGCTTTCACACCGTCAAAATGTTCATCAGTGGAGCTAACCACGTTAATTGTTTTAAAATTCTTTTTTATATCCCTTGATTTTCTATTTCTTTGTATTTTGTATTTGGGGCTTTCACGGACATGACGAATTACGAACATCTCGAACATTATTTCCAGTCCCCGACGAATTCAAGTTACCCGTGTTTGACTATATTGACTTGCGTGTAACTTTCGATATTGTTCAGATACTGTAGTCATTCAGTTTGTCAAACTCTCCAAGACTACTGTTGCAACAGAGGGAAAATGACAATGCTGGTCTCTACTGCTCTTCTTTTATAAGTAAGTAGATGTGTGTACCTGTAATTCTCATAAACCTATCTCCCTCTTGTGCCATTGTTGCTTAGGGATCTTGTTATTTTCGTTTCAGACAAGCAGCACCTACACAGCCTTCAGCTGCAGAATTCCTATGTCAAGAAGCTGTGGGCTCTGGGCAGTGTGACTCAAGGTAAGTCATGTTGTCATGCAAGACCTGACTTCAAAGAGGACGGGAAAGGGATAAGGAATTTGGGGAGGGGAGCAGCAGGAAAGGGGGGACAGAAAAGGGGAGGAGGAGGAGGAGAAAGAGGGTGAGAGAGGGAAAGGGCAGGTAGGAGATAGGGGGGAGGGGTGTAAATATTCTGCCTAAACTTCCACTGAAGGAGTGCACCTTATTTGCCACCACCTCTCCAGAGTAGGAGGGGGGGGGGGGGGGGCGTCTTCTTTTCTGTACATACTTTATCAGTTATCTTCTGTCTGTCTAGCTCTTTTCAATACATTGTACCATTTTGCTGACTGAGGGTCTGGTCTACTTGAAAATAAATGCACACAGGCCCATAGTGTGAAGCCATCTCTCAAAATGACCTTTTTGTGTCTATTAGGGTGGTAAACTGGAACAAGAAGCGAACAAAACCACCAAAAAGTAGTTTAAAACAGACTGCTTCTATGCTTTTATTACATCAATATTCTTGGAGTTAAGGAGCAGCTCTGTAGGAATAGGTCAAAGTTTTATTTCTGATAAGTCTTTGTGGGGAAAGAAAAAATAGAAATCATGTTGATACAATGATGATTGTGCGGAGGGTGTGCAGGGAAAGCGAGACAGAAACATCAAAGGGGGTTCTGGCATCATGTTTTTTGCTGACTGCCCAATTCTTTGTGTTTGTCACGGTCATAACACAATTATGTGTATTATGTTTTGTTGTTTTGAGAAAATTTCAAAAGTTGAGTACCTTTTGACCAGCAAATGTTAAAATTTTGCAGTCTTTGGATGTTTTAGTCATCATCATCAAGTGTCTTGTCTGGAGCAGACATTTGCAGTTATGGTTCTCCACCCTTCTCTTTCATTGGAGACCGTCCTAAATGAGTTGTTCATTGTGTTGCTGCCCAGGTGTTCAGGCCATCTATGAATCTTTTGCAAGTAGCACAACCTTGCTTCTTGGTTGAGGAAACAAAGCAAATGACAGGCATTTTACAAAAACCAAAAACCTGCCAAAGGTGGTGAAAGCAGTTGTGTTATGTCCGTAATGTGTTACTGTTGTGGCAAGAACTTCTGAGACAAGGTGAGTGTAGTAACCTCAAACACTCTACAGCGTCTCAGTGGTGTAAGGGAGTTCTGGTTCACAATAAATGTCAAACATTTGTCAGTGACATGGCGTTTAGGTGGGTGGTCACTAGGGTGTGTCCTTGAGCAAAATGCGATAATTCTAGCTCAGAAGACAGGGCGTTTCACAATGGGGACCAGCAATGGCGTGTATGGAGTGAATGTATGCATGTACAGTCAGGCACAAAAACTTGAACTCATGGAAAACTCAAAACCACGATTAGCTCATACTATTTGCCATTCCCTGGCTGATATCTCTTTGATATTTTATTATTCAGTTTACTAGATTTATGGATCTGCTTACATTTGTCAACCCCCCAGAGTTTTTGAGTTATCTATGCCTGACTGTATCTATGTAATTATGTACCGTATTTATTTATGTATGTATAGTATATGTTGCGGCTTTGTAAACTATTTCCCCTTGGGAATAAGTAGAATTGGAATTTTATTTTTAATTTATCACTATTTACAGGGAATACAACCACGTGTCAGAGCAGACTCTGACTTTGTCCCTGTGTTGTGGTGACTGGTCACATTCCTCACTGTACCTGGAAGTCTTTCAACTGGATTCTCAGTGACACTTTGTTGGTGAACCTTTATTAAGGCTGTGGGGTTTTCTTTACAATGCTTTCAACCACGTTAATATTTTGTGAACTTTGTTTTTTCTGGGGAAATAGATATCTTTTTAACATTCTTTTGTTTGTTTGGGGATTTTTTTGGGGGGGTTGTTAATCTTTGTTTTCATCTTTTTTATACACGACACATTTTTGTACAGATTTGATTAAATCTTTCCCCTCTTTCTTTTTTTGACTTATTCATTTTTGCTGTTTACATTTTTAAAAGACATTTTTGGGGGAAGATTAATCAGGTTTGTGCGGATGTCGGTTGTAATCGGAATTCATTGATGCCCTTCTCTCTGAGATTTGTTTTTCCATTTTCTTTTTTTATACAGAATGTTGTATGACCTTTTATTATATATAATTGTAGATGTACTGAGCGTGTGGTATGAAAGGGTGATGAGAGTGTGAAAGTGATCTATAGTTTCATAGATAAAAAGAGTGAAAGAAATTTTGAGTGTGCTGGATCTATTAGTCAGGGTTAAATTTAGAGTGAAGTCTGTTTTAACTGAAATCTGTGTGGCCTTCGGATTTTATTCGATTTAGTGATGTTTTCATTTCAGAGAGGTTGCTCAAATAGCAAAGAAAAAAATTGGGGATTTTATTCTTTTTTCCTGTTTTTTGCTGTGTTCAGATTAAGCGGACTCCACTGTACTGTACGTTATTTTGTCAGAACATTACAGTTCTCAAAAGACAACACAATAAAAGGAACAAGTTTGTTTGGTACCTGTATATGACTTTTTGACTTTATTGAATGTCAACTGTGGACATCGCCATCACATTCGATAGGCCTGAATATATAAGTTAGGTTCAAAATTCTGATTCAAGGGTATTTTATTATCATGCATTACAAGCCAGGCATTCCACAAATTGGTTACATCGTGTCATAATAATAATAATAATAATAATGATAATAATAATAATGATAACGATTATTATTATTATTATTATTATTATTATCATTATTTTGGGTACATGGTGTATTACTTCACAGTTTACAGTCTACAAGATAAAAAAGTAGGTCTATTTACATAACGCACTTCTGATAGACTTCAGTAAGATTTCTCAAGGGAGAAAGTTCAAAGTTCACAGTTATCTTTTTTGACACAGTGGGAATCACAAGGAATTAGATAGATAGGCAGACGTTGTTGAACCGTTCGGCCGTAGAGCAAACGAAAGCAACAGCTCCCCAATAGGAAGTAAACAAGGGCACGGTTAAGATGGCACGACAGTACGTAGGAGAAAAACAAGTCTTCAGAAAATTAGACGTATATATGCAAGTAAAACAAGATCTTTACACAAAGAAAAAAAAAGTGAAAAACCATCAGTTGACTTTGCTTATAGTAAAAGTCAATTTTTTAAAATGTAGGTGTTTTACACTCCCATCAACACAATTTCGATCTTTTACAAGGCGGGCTTGACCCTGCTTGTCAAGGCCAGGTCACACTGAGAGGGAGAAAATGTCCCAGCAGAAAAACCAAGATTCTTGATAAAAAGTCTCCCCACACGGGAATCGAACCCCGGTCTTTCGTGTGCCACGGCAAAGGGTGTAAGAACTACACCACAGACACCAGTAAAGTGAACTCTGATCAAACAATTGCTTTATATTTTTACAGAATGACACCTTTGATTTGTTATTTTTTATTCCCTTTTATAGTAGAGAACAAAAGGGGAAATCGGTCAAGCTTTTCTGCTTGAATAAATTGATGATTTTCTCAATTTCCCAAGACATCATTCTCAGCAAAGTCCACTGTGGTCAGATTATACATTCAAATGTTAGTGAGAATAAGAAGAAAAAAGTAGACTATCTATGGGTCTAAGAAAATGACTAAGAAAACTAATGCTGAAGAGTATACGATATCAACAGGGGAAGAAGGATACTTGGCATTCTCACGCCACACAATTGCCTCATCCAGTCTCACTGCATTCAGTCTTTACATTCCACACAATAAGATGCAATGAATGGGACATTTCACATCTCAAAGTAGAAAAGCTATTAATAATAATAATAATAATATAATTTTACAATAGCATATTATTACACAATGAAAGAACAACTGTTACATCCCAAAATGGAAAAGCTACCCTATAATTTACCCCCCCCCCCCCCCAAAAAAAAAAAAAAAAAATTTTTTAAATAAAAGAGAGTGGGAACAGTGTTCATATTCGTTTTACCAAGAGCATTTAAACATGTTGACAGCTAAAAGTTTGTCTTATTATAAGTTAAGCACACACACTTCACCACTGTGCTGAATGCAGTAACAAACCAGTGGCCCCAGTTCTCACTCAGAATATCGTCCAATATGTATCACAATTGATCAATAAACAGAAGCCCTCTTCCTATTGCACTTAGCTTGGGCCTCACAGATAAAGTACGCTGCACTAGACAGAATCACCAGTAGACCGTAGTAGAAGTTATCATCACCGAGAACAAACAAGACCAGGGGGGGGGGGGGGGAACTGAGGAGCTTTGATATAAAAGTATAAAAGTAGCCACATTGCTCCAGGAAACATTTTATCAGCAAGCTCTTCAAATGTTCTACTAAGCTTAGAAACCAAAAATTTTCAGGAGAGAAAAAACACTTTCATTCTTCTAAAAATTGCACCAAAGCTATCCTTCTTTTCTGGCTTTTTCCCCCCCAACATTTAAAATTTGAATTTCCACAAACTATTTCTCTTGTACATGCAACTGATACCAAAAAGAAACTGCAATAAAATAATTTTTTTCTAAATTTTTAGATTTGTACCCAGTCTGAAGAGCTGGTCGACAATTGATTTTAGGACAATAGTAACATTAACGTTGAAGAAGACAGATCAGACCACACTCAAATGTCCACTAGCCATCCACATCACAGAGGATGATAATATGGTGAGTTGGAGCTCAAGAGAACTATGCTATAAATAAACCACGTTGATGTCAGACCCTGACATGACTGACTGTCACACGCCAATATGCACATAGTCCACGGGCAAATATTGCACCAAAATATTCTTGCCAATGTATTTGTTCACAACTGAGACTTGGAAGTGGTTTTCAAGAAAATGTCATCAACTAGCTCTAACCACGTATGGTAGAACGGTACCATACACCGTGCATCTTTTGTAGCGGTGTTCCCAAATATGGCAACTCGGGAACTTAAAAAATCTATTATAATGTGACTTTTAGGACATTGATGAAAAAATGCTTAATGTTCATACATATTTCAATGGACATCAAAATGGATTGCTCCTTATTTGGGTTTTTTCCTTCATTCTGTTGAAGCTCATTCTTACAATACAAGATACACCAATGATAACATATTATTTCCACAAACATTCAGCTTTATTTTACTTTTATCTGCCGCTTATACCCTTTTGGATGTCGCGAGAAGAAAGAGGTGTCTCTCTGCCACCAGCCGGAGAGCTTGGGTCAGGGGGATGCCATGAGTTGGTAATGTTTCCCAAACAGCACAGGCAAAATTTTCACAAACGTACATAAAATGACAAAAATTCTTCCACTTCAACTCCAACCCCCCTTGTGAGCGCATTTCAAGACTTCAGTACACCCTTGGAACACAAAAATATGTTCATGAAAAGAAGCTCACTAAATATATAAACTTATTGAATTTTTAGAAAATATATATAAATCACAGTAAATAATAAAATACATTTTTTAAAAAGAATTATGCTTGTGTGACAATAAAAAAAAGTACTACTGCTATCTTTAGATGAACAGTTCTTTTATTTTTTCTGCCATCAGGAAATGCTTTTTATTGTATTAGTAAAACTAAAAGGAAATACTACATCAAAAATAGAAAAAAAATAAATAAATAAATATTCGAACACTCAGTCACAGTCGTTGAAAACTCCCTACACAACCGAAGTTCAAAAATGCCCCATTAGGAACTTGGACCCATTTCATCCCCATCATAGTCCGGCGTGACACTATCTCAGCTAACAGTAGTGCACCCTATCCATATAATTCTCAGAAAGTACATGAAATAGAACAGAGCAGAAATTTTGATGCATCCTGAGCAGCCTTTTGTTTTTGTGGATTTTGGTCTTTAAATGAAATGTTCCTTTCAAAAGTTTGTCGAGCCATAGAACAGACTGCCAGTTTCATACATTAGCCTAGGAAATGTTCCTACTTCACTTTGTTTGAAACTCAAAAGTAAGCACACAGCAAACAGTAGAGCAGCTACAAGTAAGGGGAGTGCAGAAAAAAAAAGCTATAGTACTGCCATTTGAATAAAAGCCTAAAATTGTAACAAAAACAGGTGGGTATTTTTTAATTTGGGAGGGGTGGTGAACAATTTTCCCCAAATCTTCAGCTCAAATCGTTTAATTTAAAAATGTTTGTATATTCATTGAAACAAATGCTCAACTCAACTCTAAAAGCAAAAACAAAAAATCTACAATAACAAGCAATCTTGAATCTCAGTTATGAAAATGTTCTTTCTCTGTGGTAAAAAGTCCCAGCCATCACTGTAAATGCTTCACTCTCAGGTCAAATCTGTCCTAGGATATTCCACGGAAAAGGAAACTGCAGTGACACAAAAAACGTGAAGATGATAGCCTGCTGAAAAAATTGTAAACATAGACGGGTTTTTTTCTTTCCCCGTTACAGGAACGTTACCTTCAACTTTAACAAAAATAAAGAATGGCTCCATCATCGCTTTGAATTTTTTTCAACAGGTATCTAAACATTACATGTGTCACTGCAGTTTTATTTTTTATGTTATGGCCTACTTTAAAAATTAAACAAACACAACCTGATTTTAAAAACAAAAACTTAAAAAGAAAAATCTGCTGGACATGTTTATCAAAGTTAACGTATATCATCATCATCATTAAAATCAGAAAGCACGAGGAATCGTCCTGACACTAAACAATTTGTAGACTCAGAAACCAACATAAGCTTATGTGCGCTATAGCTAGCTGTAAAATAACAAAGTGAAGCGTTACGTGTGTGCAGCAAATGGCTCTAACAACAAACTATATGTATGAGATGACCAATGATGAGGATAGGGAGCCCAGATTTTTTAACTTCTTTTCATCATAAACAACTCGAGATACTCAAAGACAAAAATCTGTTGCCCAAGTCACAACCAGCTTTACATGTCAAGCACATTATGGTCAAGCTTAAAATTAAATTTCTGAATAAAACAAACTTTTAAAAACGTATCAACTGTGCATTACATATATAATTTACCTGACAAATAAAAGGAGCATTGGAAAAGAGCTCCTTAATTCTATTGTCTACTTCATGAGTGCTGGTTCTTAAAAGAGAGTGACAGCCATATAGATCTATAGAATATAGAGAGAATCAAACCAAATGTCTTTTCAAATAAAACATTTTTTCTGCACTCTTGAAAAATATACTTTCACATTGCACCTGACGCTTTTGGAAATCTAAAAAAACAGTCACTTTATTCACCACTAAGCTCTCTTCTCTCCCTCACAAAACCCTTCACTAAACACATCTTTTCCACCGATTTTTTTCCTTCAGTATTAGTAAGAGTTTTGCAACCCAATAAGGTCATATGAGTGACAATTTTTCATAAGTACATGCAATGTTCACTTCTCTGTCCTATTGCTTGAGGTAGTTTGCTGTGTCCAAATGAGAGTCTATGTTTATCAAAAGAATACTTTCAACACTCAACACTAACTATGACATGTTTTTTCATGCTAATGTGGTAGTCCAACATCTATGTTACATATTACTGATGCTATCGCCACCTTCAATGATAGCTAAAAATATTTGACCATATCGATGGACATTCACCAACTTCTCTGACTGTGAGTGTCTGCACATCATATACACTGACATACAAACACACACATGTTCTCACACACTCACATGTTCTCTCTCTCTCTCACACACACACACACAACAAACACACACACACACACACACACACACATGTTCACACACACACACACAACACATTTAAACAGATACACTCAAAGATATGTCTGGAATATCTAAAACATGTAAACTTGGGCACAGAAATAGGTAAATAATGTCCTTCATTTCTCAACACATATGATTAAAATAAACATTTCTGATCTTTATAATTTGGATACATTTTTTATCGAGAGGACTAAGCGTACTCACACCCTGTACTGCAATTATAAACCCTCAAAATCCAAAAGACAAATCCTGTAACAGTTGCGTAGAACTCACAACATTCACGTGACAACAACTAATACCATAACAAATCGATGGCTCGGTGCAAGACACCGACACACGCAAATATTCACAAAGGTGTTTGTCGCAGACTTGCGTCCAGCCATCGAAATACACGCTGACAAAGATGGGCAAGACAAGGGTTTTTTTTTTTCAAACATCAAAGAGAGAGAGAGAGAGTTCAGGAGTCATAACTGCCATTTTCATCAGATGAGACAAAACGTGTGCTTGGTGAAGCCTTTGTCCAAACAAAGACCAGCAAAAATAGAATGAAGCAGTGATCATGTTATTGCTGACTGATTGTGCGTACAGAAGTTGTACACATTGGGTCGGGTGGGGTGGGGGGGGGGTTAAAAATAAACATTTAAAGAACAGATGAATGCAAACGCCGTAATTTCCATAAAATCACTCAGGATAATAGAGATACACTTGAGCCTGCATGGATTTCCCCTACAGAACAATTCACTCAACTGAACAAAAGTTATATATTTATATTGGAAGACTTGCACTTTGACTTGAGATGACAGAACAGTATTACAACAGCCATCAAGTTCATAATAAGGTAGGCCTACTTCAGATTCAATACCGTTACTCAGAATCTATCTTTCAAATCATATCACAAGAAAAAATTGTTACAACATCAAAATGATCTTCAAGCACAGAGTGAAAAAAAAAAATCCAGAAAATACAGTAAAGCAATAATAGTAAAGTGATCCAAAACTTGAATATAATTTTCTTAAGGTGTTTACAAGTCACAGCTCACACAGAGACAGTTTTTCCTTATAATAATAATTTATGGTCTGCATTTAAATACTTCTTCTCCACTGTAATGATTATATATACAGTAAAAATGTATCACATTAAAGTTAAAATACTTAAGAATGAGAACATCACCTGATGTCCCCTTGTGACAAATATCACAAAAGCATGTTCAGCATGCACGGCTGAAAACAAAAACTGGTCATTACCTTTTACCTTTTATAGAAAACAAGAAGAAAAAATGAGCGAGGAATAAATCCAGAAAGAAAAACAAAATGTCCTCAAGGTGCTGCCTATAATATGGCCCCACTCATTTCTTGCACTTTTGAGATAATCGAGAAAATCCAATATAGGTTGTTTTACAATACTTTTTTTTTCATCTATAATATGGAAATGACTAAATTTAGGATAATGGCCCGCCATTTAAAAACATTTTTAATACTTATTGATGCATTATTGAGAGGGGAATTACAAAATGGTTACATTCCACTATGGCTTAAGTCTAAGTCTGTTAAGCCATAACGTCAGCACCATGACGGTAATTGTATTTCGAGACACCACATTCCTGTACCTAGAGGTTTGTGACAGAACACACTACACCGCACCCAATGTCCAAACTGTAAGTGTGTAGCAATACAAAAAGTACAGAAAAGATATGTAGAAAAAAAAGTTGCCATGCCTTAGGCACAGTAGAACAAAAATCAAAATTTTGATACTTTTTAAAAGTAGCAGATTTAGATAAGATACTTCACTTCATTATTCTCAAAATATTTTCACTCTGCAATAAGTGTACAGCAAACCATGGCTATGTAGCAATGACTAGAAGCTTTAAGAAACACAAAACTTTCACTTCCATATAGGGGTATATTCATACGGGAAAATTCTCCTTTCTTTCTTAATCTATCTACAAGAGAAATGTATCAAGGTCAGCACATTTTTTAACTTGTATGCATGGACAAAACAGCTTATTGAAAATAGATTTCTTTTTTACTGGCAAGTCCCCATGCATTATGACTGCAGGTAAATCCATGTCTAAAAGCCTTTTAAAATATTTCTATAAGGCAAAGGATCACAAAGGCGCAGGGGAAGGAAAGGAAGGGAGGGGCGGGGTGAAAGAGGGACTCCTCAAGACTGTTACATCATGTTATGACAACAGAGACACAGATCGAAAAATATTTCTCAACTAAAAAAATAACTGGCGTCATAAAACTAAAGATTCTGCTACAAAAACCCAGTGAATTTCCGAGTAAAAACAGTGAATTTCTGAGCAGATATCATAGTCTTAGCAATGGCGTGTTAAGGAGAAAGTGCCTTGCGTCAATTGGTCGTGTGTGTTGTTCTTACACTTCTCATGGAAAGAAAACGTCTCCGGAATGCAACAATCCTTACAATACACATTTTACGTTGTACTACGGTGTAACTACACTTACAACTCTCCTATTGTTTGGTCTTTGTAATAAATGAAAAACAAAACTCTCCTGTTGATGTACTACGATATGGCTACCTGTACAAAAAGTCGATGAACTTTCATTCGTCAGCAGTTGACTACTTTCGTCGTGTTTAGACCATAACCTCAGAACCCACGTCCATGAATATTTTTCTGCGGTGCACGCAACACCTGTGTCGTGAGGGTCGTCCGGGAGTTATCTCGAATCGTCCGACGAGGAGTCGTCGTCAACATCATCGCGATCATCATCGTCGTCATCTGAACTGCTGGAATTGGAAGCGTTGAACGCCAAGATCCTTGCGTCGTACACAGGTTTCGGGCTCGGCTTATGATGGTACACAAGACGAGGCGGCGGTTTGGCAGAGCGGACTCGATCAATGACCGAGCGGAAACCGCCACCTGTCTTCGAGTGCAGTTTCTCCGGAGCCGCTTTGTTCACCGAGCTCGAGCGAGGCTTCGCAGCGTGGGAGCCGGGGGCCTGTGGGGGCTTCCTGTGAGGGTTCAAGGCCACATCAATCTGCGGTTTCCGTCGTATTCCATTTCCTGTCCAAGAAGCATCCTCTTTGGCACGTGAGCCATTTTCTGGCCTCGTCGGGGAGTTAGCTACCCTTCTGGTTGAGACGGGCGTCGGAGGCTTGCCATTTTCTCTCCTTCGAGACAGAAGGGATGTAGAGGAATAGTTTCTAGAGCTGCTAGATCCGTTGTTGGTTTTGTTACCAGCACCTGGCGGTGCTTTCCCACTAGGAGGTCGGACGCTCAGGGGACCGGCGCGGCGAGAAATGGGGCTGCTATTCGGGGCGGAACTGTTGAGTTTTGCGTTGCGTGGTTTGGCCGCGGGGCTGGCAGTGGCCCTACCGTTGTCGGACGAGGCAGTCCGTTTGTTCATGGGTTTCTTCTCCCCACTCGAGGAGGAGTCGGAATCCGAGTCTTCGAAATCGGAGGACTCTGTCGTTTCCGAGTCGGAGTAGAGATTGGAGCGGGCGTTTTGTCTCCACATGGCCGCCAGGAGGGGGTCCGTGCGGTGGGCGGGGTTGACCTTGGCCGCGACCTTGGCACTCGGAGCTTCAGGAGGAGGTGGGGCAGCCTGGGGAGGAAGTGACACAATATATCAGAATCAGACTCTACTATGTATTGCTCATGATAAACTTTTGAAAATACTTTTAATTGTCTGAGAAAAAGACGTGTCAATAACTTTATCAGAGAGGTGGTAAAAAGCTCAAAGAAAAAAAAATGATAAGAGGACAGTCTAGTCATGTGACTTTTTTTCAAAGTGGACTATCTCCTTTTCTTAAATCTAGTCCTCGTTATCATCTTCTAATCTGAGTGAGAGGACTCAATGGATGTCTTAATGATAAAAACAAATGGACGGACAAAAAAATATAATAAATAAATACAGGGACAGAGAAGGAACGCCACTAACAGAGAATACATTATTTTGATCATTGGAGGCTCCAGCCAGAACGGATGTGTCTATCAACACAAACTTAAAGACATGGGGTTGCTTTATATTTTTTTTTAAACCAACAGACTTTGTATCATATGCACGCATTTTCAGACACCACAGTAAGAATAATACTGAAAAAAAAAGCGGAAGAAAAGTGATGGTCTTTTTCTTTCCTCTTTGATGAAAGGAGGTATTTGTGAGGGGATGCAATTAGATGGAAAAAGCCAGAGAGACTCACCAGTCTAAACGTTCCCTCACACTGAGTGATGAGGTCCACCATCTCTTCCTTCATGCCGGCCGAGTGAGCAAAGGACTGAAGGCGCTCGATGAGATCACCTGAACATACAGAAAATAGGTCAGGTCAATACATCCATTGTCAGCACTAGAACATACAGGAAAAAGGAATATATTTTTTTTTAAACATATTATGACAGTCCAATAGGTCATAGATATTCTGTCCTAGCAGGAAAACAGGTCATGTAAGAAGAAATCAGGAGGACCATAGATTTGTTTTTACATATCATTAACATAGTAATAACCAAAAAATCAGTCTAGGCAAACGCCAAATTCTAATATGATGGTTTACCATCCCATTGTAAAAAAGTGTAAATACGGCACCAAACTTTAAAATATACAAAAGAAATCCTTTTGAACAAAATGTGTGTGTGCCTGGTGAAAGGGACCACATGTCGCATTTTCTCAAACCGAGACATCAGGCTTCAAAGGTCAAAAATAGAATTTTTGACAAAAACTAAGTTCCATTAAAAATGGATTCTTCAGCCATTTATTTATTAATATTTACAAGGATTTGGGTTATTTTGACTTTAAAATACATTTTAAAAGGTGTTTTTTAACCCGAGGTATATTGCATAATCCCCAAAAATGCGTGAGGAAACTGGCTTTCAGGGTAAACACTGCGGATGGTTTCTCTTGTCCATTCATAAAGTCGACCCAATCACATTGCATACTAAAATTTAGGTCATTCTCTCTGCTCTCCAATGGCAGGTAGTGCGCATGAATATCTAGAACATGTAAACAAAGCGAAACTTTGCGCATCCATACCCTTTTGTTTCTTTGGAGAACAAACTTGTATCGCCTATTTCTGCCCTGTGCAAACCGTATTTCTTGAAATTCCTGTTCAATGTGGTGGTGAATTTGTTTTGAAGACGTAATATAAACACTTTGAAGCTGTTCTTTTATTGTAGAGCTGCTTTTTAAAGTTAGTTTGTGAGAAGCGACTGTGTTGTCAGGTCGTCTCGAAGCACATCAACACGGCGGAGCTGCCAGCTGTTACTACTACCGGTACTGTTAGTAGTAGATCTAGTACTAGATCTAGTACTGCTATTCGTGAGCAGGAAATTGTGTCTCTTCTCAATTCTCTTAGACGCATTGGAATGTCAGAATGGCAACTGAAGAAGACATTAGAGATGTAATATGCGATTATTTCGTTTCTGACGTCGATTTGGTAGAAGAGGAAGAAGATGAGTTCGATCTGTGGTGCTGTGGTGCCATCGCCAGTTCCAGACCCCGCACTTGAAGCAGAACCGAGCGAAGCAGGTAAAGATTAACAACAACAAAAACAACAGTGATAATAGAAATAGATTTAGATTTAGCAAACTAATAATTATTTATTATAATGATAATTAATAATAATAATTATCATTACGCTGTTCTTTCTTGATAAACCTAGATCTAGATCTAGTTTAGATCTAGCTTACTCATAGTAGTGCATTTTTGTTTTCTTAATTCTAAATGTATGCAGAACAAAATTTCATTTATTCCTGGGAGAGTCTGGGTTCTAAGATCTGGATATGAGGCAATCTTGTTAAGTGGGTAAGGAACAAAAAGTTTTCCTCTGACCCTGATGATTGATAGTGTTAAGTTCCCTAGTTACTGTGGTGAAGATACTTTTTTTGCCTGTGTGTGTTGCAGGAGATGAAGGGGGAGGGAGGGGGAGGGAGGGGGGGGTATCAAGTTTTTAAACAAAACAATAATAATTATGAACATGATTTAACAACATTATATTTCAGCAACAGCAAAACCTTTTTACTAGAATGGTGACTTGTTATGAAAAAAGGGTGTTCTGTTTTTGTTTTTTCTGCAGAAACAAAGGTGAAACTTTAGAGCCGTTTTTCTCAAAACTTTGTTTCCGTACCCTGCCTTACAAAATCGCCCATATCTCAAAAACTACTGAAGATATCTTCAAAATTTAAAAAGCACATTGTTCAGAAATGAATTCTGTACAAGAAAATGCCAAAAAAAGGGATTTTTCCAAATGCGACATGTGGTCCCTTTCACCAGGCACACACACAAATGAGAAAAACACAAAAAACTGGGAACCTTTTTACAATACAAGGGCTATTAAAAGTATGAGAGTTTCTTCATTATCACAGATTTTTGAGGAATTGGGAGCAAAAACTTCTCGGTTTTTGCTGGATTCCCAGAATCTAATTTACATGAAAAGTATCTCCAAGTCTGGAATCAATATGGTATAGGCTTTTCACGAACTCCCTCACTAACCTATTTCAATTAAAAATTTTTTAAAACTGTCCAAGTTCACAGCCACAAATTTATCAAAACCTGAGAAGCTTTGGTGCCTCAGTTGAAAAATATGTAAAAACTTGTAGTGTGAGAAGCCAATGTTTGTGGTGTGTATTTCTGGAGCATAAAGGCCTAAATCTTAAGAAGATGAAGTTTAAGCCCTGGGGCAAATCTGATCAGCTCAGAAAGCTCTCAACTTACATGTAACGATTATTGAAGAAAAGAGACAGGAATAGATCATTCTTTCCCAGTAAAGTGTGTTTTCTCTGAGATGCCATCAATCCGTTAATGCACATAGCACAAACAACCCATGACGCTCTTTTGTAATGATTTTTTCATCTCTTCTAGACTTTCTCTCACAGCATGGCTATGATTCCATACATTCCACATCTCACCTTCTGAAATGAAATCTTTCGCTCTTTTCCCATTCTTGAATGGTCCGACGGCGTTACGGTTGAACAACACTCGAGGCACAGTCCAGCGCACTGTGTCAATGATTCCAGCAAAAGGCTGCACCTGAAACAGCACAGACAATACGGGTCGATGAAGCCTCCTGAAGCAATAAAAGCACCATCAGGCCTAACCTTCAGAAAACCACATTTCTTATAAATACATCATTTCTGTCACGTAAGTTCTTACAGTCTTGCAAAAAAAAGCCTTTCTCCAGTCTTAAATAAACAACTCTGTACTTTCAACAAGGGCTTTGACCAACACATTTTTTTTCTTAAAAAGTAAAAAAAATTCTTAAACTTTTGAAAAAAAACAACAGTTGAACATAAAGGTCAGTATATCCAGTTCTTTTTTTTTTCTTATCCCTTCCAAAACAGCATTTAACTTTGCGATTGTCTTCGATATGACGGCAAACACATGGCATTCCCAGGACATTTCACCACGCTATACAAGTCATCACTCCGCAGACACAGAAATAAGAGACAATGGTCATCACCCACCTCCAGTGAGGTTCCCATGACCAGCACCAGATCGGTCTGCAGCATGTCCTTCAGGTAAAAATAGAAACGTTTCGGCAGCTCCTCGCCGAAGAACACAATGTCTGGTTTCACAATACCCTGGGGAGCAAGTAGATTACAACAAAACAAGTCAAAGAGCTGGAGGCAACACTTTGCTGCTGTTGTGCTAATGGTCTGATTAATTAAATGAGAATGTTGTAACTATCTATCTACAAAATTTAGATCATATAGGACTCAGGCTACTTGGAACATGCCCGTCATGACAAAACTCAGGCTGAGTGGGATACAGTGTCCCGACAGACGGATGGAGATAATAATGATAGCTTTTTGTCTTGATACAACAATGTTGAAATGATATTATAATAAAACATCAAGTCTCATATAAACTTTTTCTGTCCTCAATCACAGCAAGAAGTTACTGATATTCCATTGTCCTGGATTAATAAATCCATCTCTGCCTAAAGGTAGAAAAGAAACTGGAGACTCCGTTGTCATTGTATGGGACTAGCACTCCTTTCAACACTGTAAGGTTATTAAAGGAGCAGGACCTACTTATTTAACATCCATCTCCTAAAGGACTGAGCTAAATCAGTAGAAAGCTTTATAAACTTCCCAAAACAACCGAAGTTCAAAACGTCCCAAAGGGGATTCAAACCAGGAATTCCAATCCAAAGTCCAGCATGATACCAACTGAGATAACGGTGCACCCCTTGATGACTCCATCACAACAAAAAATTTGACATATATGGACATAATGAAGCTGCTAAAAATAGATCATTAGATGTCAAAAAGCACGAAGTACTCACAGGACATCCTCTTCTTTTGCATTTTGGCAGACGCTCCTCAAATATGCTCTCCTGTGAAGAGAAAAAGTAAAAAGAATGAAGACAATGGAGGTTAAAACGACATTGTCACATTTATGATTATTCTCAGTTACACCTCAGCGGGAGCTTCATGACAATACTGTTTAACATTTCATACAATTTAAGAGGAGAAAAATGGCAGGATTCATCTAAAAATAAAGAAAGAAAATATATTTTATACCTTTTAATAAGATACAAGGTTCCAAATCTTTACACTAAAATTTCTCAAAACCACCAAGATATTGTGTCATCATCTTGATAAGAAATCAGGAGCAGCCACACACAAATAAAAGAAGATCCAGATAGTAATGTCAGAACCAGACTTATTGTAATGAACAAGTTCTCGCTGGCAGCGCTATCTCACCTTGATCTCAGCACCCCTGTACTTTTCCTCACATATGACACACGAGGCAGAGGAGAATGTTCCGTGGGCTTCCACCATTTTGTCCGGCGGGACCCCTGCCACTGTACACACAACACGGACATGTTTATGAAATACATATATATGCTCATAAAAATGTTTGTGTAGATACATTGTATACATATATGGGATGGAAACATGGAGCACCCCGTCTTCCTACGACCCCAGTTTTACATTCAAGTAGTTCAAGTAAGTAATATATGGGATGGTATAGGAAGGGATGGGATGGGATGGGAGGAAAGGGGAGGAAAGGGATGGGATGGGATGAGAGGAAAAGGGAGGGATGGGATGGGATGGGATGGGATGAGAGGAAAGGGGAGGGATGGGATGGGATGGTGGATGGATGGATGGTCGGATGATACAAGCAGATTGATAGAGAGACAAAGAGATAGAGAGATAGATAGAGACAGACAAGGAAGAAAGAGACAGACAGACAGGACAGGACGAGAAAGACATACAGATGGACGTAGACCAAAAAGCAAAAAACCTGGCCATCTCTAGAGACATAAAAGTACCAAGTTCTACTCACATCTCTCCAAACCATCGATGTTCTGCGTGTACATGCGCAGCAGAACGCCTCTGTCGTTGAGCAGTCTGGCGAAGTAGTGGATGTAGTTGGGCCGATACTTCCCTGAAGGGTACAGCTCTTTTGCCAGGGCGAAGAACGGCCGTGGATTGTGGTGGAAGAAATCGATGTCAAAGATGGCCTCAGGGTAAGGCACATTGTATTGCTGGAGGTTGTCGTACAAGCCAGTCCCAGGGGTTCTGAAGGATTAGACAAATTACTTCAGGTGTTATAAAACCCCATCATCACAATTTACAATGCAGTCCTCTTCAACCAGATTTTCTTCACTTTAGCTGGATTTTTTATTTAGAGAGTAGAGGTTGCTCAAATAGAAGGGGAAAAAAATTGGGATTTTCTTTTCTTTTGGTTTACCACTGTTTTCGGATTAACCATGTTTGGTTTAAGCTGACTCCATGGCAGATCATTTAAGAGGTAGGCTGCTTTGAACTTGTGTATCACTGCTTCAAATTTTTTTCAGCAGGTCATCATCTCAGCCTTATTTGTGTCACAGCAGTTTCATTTGTGATGGGATGGCCCTGATATAGAATGTGAAGCAGCATACATAAGCAAAGATATTACCTGAAGTCGGGTATGCCACTGGGTGTTGATATTCCTGCCCCAGCAACAATGACCACGTTCTTGGCATGATTGTCCTTCAACATATTGGCGACATCCGTCAGGTTTCGTACGATGGTGCGGCTCCCATTGGAACAAAAAGTTCGTCTGAAAAATCAAGCCCACAGTTATCAAAGCTATTTGAAAACAATAAAGGTTTTGTGCCCATCCTCCAGAGATGTTGAGTGCAGACATCAAGCTCAAAGTTCTAAACATTTGTTACAGTACCACATGTCTAAAGAACACAGAACTTACTGTAGCTGTCACAACCAACCTATTTAATTCTAAAAATCCAATTTTCTAGTTATATTCAATTATGATATGGCCATGTGAGGATCTTTTTTTTCTTACCCAAGGGCATCAAATAAAAAAAGCTTAACACTTTGCCGCCTCATCTCGCCAATTGGCGATGTTTACCACCCAGTTTCTTGGGAAATTCCCCAAAATATGAGGGCAAAGTGTTAAATTTCTATATAATCTTTTCGACTCCAGTAAAATCAGATTCCTGGGACTTCAGCTCTTTAAAACTGGAACAGAGAGAGTTTATCTGCATCAGGAACTGGCTTCAAACAATTGCTATAATACAGCAGAAGTATTGTCCTGTTGTATGAGTCAGTTTTCCCAGACTCTTTAAGCACAATATACAAAGTAAACCTCTAACCTTCAAAAGGAATTTTAATGTTGGTGCTTTTTTACGCCCACATTGACAGATTTTTAGATTTATAATTTAGGATGCAGACTTCAACCCTGCCTGTCAGGGTCAAATTGGGGTGACAGGGATACAATGTCTCAGCAGAAAGATAGAAATACTCATTAAAAATTCTCCCCACTTGGTAATCAAACTCAGGACCCTTTCATGTGATGGTGATGCACCTAACCACCACACCAGAGGCATTAGTCACCTAAACTTTTCCCTCAGATATATATATATAAAACTAAAACATGCATGCCAGCCAGGCAGCAATGGTACTGTAGCAGTGAGTGGAAGGAAAGAATCAATGACCTGCACTCTCGATTCCTGATAATGGAACTGTGAGGCACGGATTAAACATCCCTTTCAGAATATAATACAGTTATTTACTTTGAGAGCCCTTTGTAAATCTTTAACCTTTGCTTTAACGTTACATCACAGATTAGGATCAAAAGAAATGGGCGTGGTGAACCATCTCAGTTCCTCCAAAAACAATAGAGAAAGAAGAAGGGCCCGATCAGGATTCAAATCTGGGTAGAATGCATGCAGTCGAACGTGATAAAAACAGAGTAATGAAATGCTGCTCTATATCGACGAGGCCAGGTTAAAAAAAAAACACTCGGCTTTTTCAGAGCTTGGTTGTAGGTACATCAAAAACTCAACAAATTTTCAAGAGCTGTCTGAGCTGCAACAAACACTCACCGGTTCTCAAAGTGCTTGGTCGGAGTACGCTGTCTAAGGTTCAAATCTCTCATCCCTGACGTTATCCCAGAATCAGAGTCTGACTGATGGCCACTTCGGGCGCTGCTGTTCCCCGCGAACCTCCGCGAGGGGTGGAGTGGAGGACTTGGGCTCAGCGACGGAGACTTGTTGTGACCTCCTGGCCCCGGGCGACCTGACACAGGCTTCATCTGACCTAATGGGCGAGAGAGTAATGTTATAATTATGGTTAAAAAAATTGTCCAAGACAGTTCTATTATTGTTGAGGAGAAAAGTATTTGTCTTAGACAGTGCAAAAAAAAGCAAAAAAAACAAATTTAGTATTTTATAATGTGTATATATGTGTGTTTTTACACTCCCCCCCCCCTCTCAACATAATTTATGTTATTTAGGATGCTGGCTTTCAACTCTACCAGTCAAGGCCAACCTGGGCTAAAAGAGATACAACATCTCAACAGAAAAACAGAGACACTTGACAAAAATTCTTCCCAGTTGGGGATCAACTTGGGTCTCCTGCATGCAACAGCGAAGCACCTTATTGCTACAACACAGATGCCAGAAGACAGTGCGTCAGTGTCATTACAATATTTTAATAACGCAAGGGGGGACATTGGAAGTGGTCATTTGCACAGTTGAGTGTCTTGGACAGGCAACCATTAGAACAAGTTCGATTTAAAGTGCAAACAATCAGTAATATCGCTCCTTGTATCTGAACATAGCCTAATATTTTAATCTTACTGATGGATTTTATAGGTAATTATATAACAAATATAAGAAAAAACGCCAAATCCCTCATTGGCAACTGAGAGTAATAAAACAGGATATATTGACCTGACTGCCCAAAGTATGTAGGCAAGCTCAAATCTGGTAATTTAGAAATCCCCATTGTACAAAATATACTAGGACAAAATTTGTTATTATTTTTTTTATCGGAGATCCATTTTGTGTAGGCTCTCAAACAAGACAGGTTATCAATTACAGGATTCATACGAGGTCAGAAAATTACATTTTACATGATGATTGATTTTTGTAGCCTACCTCCAGATTTTTTTTCAAAATTATTTCACCCCCCGGGGTGCCACTGACTGAAGTGTCTTTAGGCTTAGGCCATTCCCAAAGGGGGGACATATCTCGTTCAAGCATAGTAGAATTGTAAATGGGCTGACTCAT